GTACCATACGATTACGAAAAGCTGCATCAAGCTACATTAGGAATGACAATTGATGGCATTCAAAATGTAAATTATATTAGTAAATTAACCAATTAATGATTATCTCCAATCTTCCATTCGATAGCCCATTTCCAAAGGTATTCAATTAACCTAACCTAACCTAGCTGTTATCGAGCAGGTTATATTATTTATAAATATAGTATTTTTTTTTTTTTTTTTATTTAAAATAGTCATACACAAATTAAAAGTTTCTTAATTTTAAAATTATACACTTAATAAAAGGCGGCACACAACATAAAACGTCTTTACTTTGAGAATGAACACTACGACACTCACAACCACAAAACACATACCTCTCAGCTCCAGAAAAAGTTAGGCACTGATGGCTGCCGGGAAAAATGACGAAATATTACGATGAGACGGGTGGCGGGAAGAAACTTTTCCTTCCCTCTTACTCCGCCCAGGTATTTTTAAATCGACAGTGGCGCCATCTGACAGCAGGATTTGGCAATTCTTGTTCCAAATCCTGCCATTTAAGTTTTTGCACCGTGAATCTAACCCAATATCTAAGTATGTACAGCTGATGAAGTAAACAAAAGTCCGCCCGTAGGCTGATCTTTTAATAGAAGGCATTGGTCTATAATTAATAACCTTGGTTTGGAATTTCAACACACTCTGGCAACACCGCATTAAATGTCATTCAGAATTCAGAATATAAATATGGCGACTTCAATTTTGAACAACATTTACATATTTATTCTGTATTTTTCTTAAAAGTAAGTAACTATCAAAAAATACATGAATTCCGCTCATAAAACACATTATTATTGACTTCTAAGTGGGTTGTTATGAAAATTTAGAAAAGATAGACATATTTAGCATGAGCAGTTTTAGTCATGGTAACCATATAATGAAAATATAGTGAAATTATTACTTTATAGGGCCGAAATAAAGAAAAATTCAATGTTGAAAAAATTTCCGTTTTTATGAAAAACGGTAAGAGACCACCAAGAAAAAAGTTCAGATTCGTAATCTACGACCTCAAAATAGTGTGTATACCAATTTTGGCGAAAATCGGACGATTTCCAGTTTTCTCAATAATTACCAACTGGTTTTTCCACACATAACCAAACTTACCAAACATAATCGACTATGGGTAGTTTTGGGGCAAGTCTTGGGTTGTGAATATGATAATCTGAAATCAGCTGTGTTTACTATAGAAGCTAGAGAGCCGCACTCCACTTTTGCTCCTTTGCTTCTCGAGCGAAGTAATACTTCAATATAGTTCCGTTACGAAAGCAGCGTGTAGCTCCGTGGTTGAGGCTGCCGCTTTGTGAGCGACGGGACGGTGGATCGAACCTCGGTAGACATATAACTTTTTTTATTTTTTAAAACTGTTTGTATTTTTTTTATTTATTTAGAGTTGCTGGTAACAGCGATCAAAATACGCCGTAGGCGTATTTTGATTGCGTTGGTTAGTGTTTGGTAGTGTTGGGAAAATTCGAATTAAATAATACGACTAATTCGATAGTAAATTAAAACTAACTAATTCGATTATCTTTTTCGATATAATCGAGATAAAAATTAGTAGTATTTTATATTATATCTGTGGTAACCGAATTACAAATGAACATAAAACATAACCTCTTATGGACGAATATTAGTAATTAGTACTATTAGATTAGTAGTATTCTTTCGTTCTGAACGAACTGAAAATTTTCACTTAAACTGATTTATAAAGGGAATCCACAAAGAAAGGAACGATCCGATATAGAAAAATCCAGAAATCATTGTTATTTCCTATACCACGTATGAATAAATCCGTTTAAGTGAAAATTTTCATTTCGTTCAGAACGAAAGAATACTACTATTATTTGGTTCATTTCCATCTGACCCAAATTTTACCGAACTCTAAAATTAATTTTCTTCTTTTATCTAAATAATTAATGATTGCAACTGATAAAATAAAAAGAAATACGAACCGCACGTAAACAAGGACATACTTATATCGTTTTAGAAGAAGCTTTTATTTTAGATATGAGCTTTTCAATAGGAATTGAAACAATCATAAACTCGGCACTTTCAAATTTAAAACTTTAAATTATGGTTTAATTTATTAAACGGCTTCGGCACAGTTAATAGAATACATTGAATAAAGAATTTTTTTTTTTATTTTTTATTCAGTGATAGAATATAGGTATGGCAATGGTTCAGAATTTGTTTAAAATAGCCCCTAGACGAGCACTAGCTGGGACGAAATTTTTAGGTTAAATTTATAATTCTACTAAATAATTCGAATTATTAATTCGATTGTGAAATATGAATTATTACTAATTATTCGATGGTGAAAATAATTCGATTATTCCCATCACTAGTGTTTGGTGTGAGTTTTTTTTGTATATATAGCACGCGAAATACCCGATCGATTTTGTATAACTCATGCGCATGCGCGGAAGCAATGGAGCAAAAGTGAAGGGCGACTCCCTAGCAGAAGTGTCTAGCCCTAGCAGTCAACTTTTAAGCTTGACCAATCAGGTTGGTTAGCGTGGTTATTCGAAGGGTGTTAATTCATTTGTGTTTGTCAAAAACTCTAACGTGATTGATCGGGCTTAATAGTTGCTTGCTAGGGCTAGACACAAGTCTCCCTAGCTTCCAGTCTACTGGGCGATCTACATAAAGTAACAACCACTGGTGTTACTTTATGGCGATCTACTTCAATCAAGACTTCAATCTACTTACTCTAATAAAGTGGTAGTAAGGAGGGATTCTTATGTTTTTTTTTATTCCCAAATGTATTAACAGGCTTATAAATAAACAATTATAAACACAGAATGTCTAAGTCTAATTATAAAGAGCCAACGAAGGTAGTAAACTCAACATTTTTTATCGTATCTGTTTAATTATAATTGAAGGGGTGGTTTTAATAACTAGGCAGCTGCATTTTAATAAATTTGTGGGAAATCGAAAAAGAGCTGTTCGGTTCTTGCTGCAAACCCAAAGCAAGGCAGCTCCAAGCTCCAACTAACGTCGCCATTTATGTACTGTTATATTGAGAGAACTGATTGTTGCAGGAAACGATCGGCCAATTTTTTTAAAGGGTAATTCATTAAAAATCTCATTTTCGAAAAAAAGTGGAGCTGCCTGGTTATTACAGCCACACCTTCATTTAAGATTATTATGAAGCTATAATATTTATTTTCTTACCTATGTCAAAATTAAAAATCTGTTATTTAATTTCATATTATTGGAGTTGGGAGATCAGTTAATTTTTATTCTGCAGTACATAATACCAAGTTACTTGGCTGATGTTAAAGAAAACACTTGCGAAGTTATTTTCCAACATGTTCTTCTCTTTCTTTATTTCCATCTTTTTTTTATAGATATATGAATTTATATTCACTTTATTCATATGAGACAATTTGTTTCAGGTTATTAAGATGGAATTATTGAATTAATGACGGAATAGGTCACCATTAAGGCACTTAATTGGTAAAATTAATTTAGTTTTAAATACTTATAAACCATTAGTAATAATGTGTTTTCAGTACACCGCTAGTTCAAATGTGATATATTTATGGAACTATATAAATCTAGTTTGCCTTTAGTAGATCCTAATAATCTACCACCAGTTTTGCCTGTTCAAAGCCTGCTAGAATGTGATAGAAATATGGAAACAGGCAACACGGAAGATGATGAAATTTCTCAACATATGACACAGTCTTATAGCGAAATATCATTCAAATCGGGATTAAGCCCTGAGAATGAAGAACTACATTCCCCAATTTTAAATCCTCATACAGTAGATATATCAGATCACTTCACTCAGTCTCCAGTTACTCTAAAATGTGACTTTAAAGAAGGAAAGCCATTACGACCGCTCAATTTAGATGGAACAGTACATGTTGAAGGTAATATGACATGTTTTGTTGCTGAGGACTTAGAAAGTAAAATTAAATTATCCAGTCCAATAACTAAAAAAAATGATACATTGTCAGGTTCACGAAGTTGTACTCCTAGTGTTTTGTACAGACAATTACTGGATCCCCAAGTTGGTCAGATTGATTTAGCTTTTATAAATGATCTGGAATGTGAAGCCCATAGAATGGCAACTTCGGTAGATAATTTAATAGAAAATTTAAGTGGAATACTTCATTCCATTTCTTCCATAACAGCTGACAATGTAGATGTATATAAATCTGCTGTTTCAAAAATGTCTGATGCTATGGATGGCAATATTAAAAGTATGTATACGGTGATGGCTAAAACGGAAGAAGTTACACAAAACATGAACGGTGTTGAATCTCAGGCAGGAAGAATTAAAGAAATTAAAAAGTTAATTGATTTGTTTGAATCATTTGTATAGAGAAGTTCAGCCAAAATAATAATTTTAAATTGAACAGGAAATAGCATTCATAATATAATCTGATTCAGGAAAGATGTTGATTGCATCTTAATCATCTGTTAAATTTTCAAAATGTTAGTTACGACAGTTTATGTGGAAGACGACAATATATTCTAGAATAATTTATAAAACTGAGATTAAAATATTTTACATTTTATATAGATTACTATAAATCTGGTTTAGGAACAATACTTTGTATGTGCCCTGACAAAAGTTGTATAAAATCGTTTGCCAGACTTTTGAATTAGTATTATTATCACTGTTATACAGCATGTGGGCTGGAGCTGGAGCAATGAAAATAGAAGTCGCGCGTAAAAAGCCGATTTTTGAAATAATTTGTACTTACAAGATGTTGCACCTAGGTCAATGATAATTAATGATAATATAGGCTAAATGGTAGAATATAATAGCTATAGTCTGTCTAACGAAGGAGTATATAACTGACACTTTAGAAAGTTTGTCATTTTAATTCAAGAGCAGATTATTTTTTCTATCATGTCTTGGATGTCGTCGAAATTGTATTTTCTAGCTAGACAGAATATATATTTAACCCTGTGATCTTAATTTGTATATATTATTAAATAAAGACGATAAGGTACGTAGAAAACGAAAAGTTCGCGGCATGGCCGATAAGGAAATTACATGTAAACCCTATACACGTGTTTTTCGCTGCCTGGCGTTAACCGATGCAGTTCAGCTAAGTTACAGGAAGGAGAACTTGGAGAAGAGAAATCAGAGGGGAGCGATTAAGAACTTGACTCCAATAACCTGCAACCTAATTTTTCCATAGTCTATCCTAAATTGTTCGCACTGCACGGTTGAAGCGGCTATATAGTATTACATGTTTCTACGGTTCGAATTTTTCTTGTCGGTCCTGCTAGATGCGACTTTCCTTTTTTGCTGTACTTCTTATTACACCCGCAGTATAATTTAGTTTTATTAAAATTTCAAAGCGTTTCCTCGACGGTATCGGCTATAGTTTAGTTATCTAGTATAATTAGCAAGTATACTAGAAAATGGTATCTGTATTTTTTTGTTGCGTGTATATAGAAACCTTTAATAGGCGAATAGAATTCGTTTCCATAACTACCTCGTAAAAGACTGACTCCGGAGAGCGGAGGTCTCTTAATACTTACCTATGGACAAAAGCTACACCTCCAGGAACTATCTGATAGTGACTTTGGGACGACTTTTTGCAGAAGGTAGAAGTGAGCCAAACTATTAGAAGTGGGCAAAGATTGAACGAATCATTCATTTGAACGAGTATTAAAAATGAATCGTGAGATTCGATTTATTGCTTGCAATCCGGTTCATTCAATTGAATCGTGGCCAGCACGGATCACTTGTTTCGTCGAACTACTTGAATCCGTTTTTGTTTCTGATCAAATCAGTGTGAGAAATTATGAAGCTATAAAATGTTGTTTCCGGAGAGTTGGATATCCGAGAAAGTTGAGTTATTGAATGTTATTGCGCCCAACAACCCCCTAATTATAGTCTGTCCAACGAGAAGATCCTTGACAGTGATAGATGTGTCTGTCATTTTAATTTCAAAGTAGTTTATTTTATTTTACAAAGAAATAAGTTGGTACAACTGGAACACATAGCAGGAAATTAATATAGTTAAAATTTGACTGACAAGTGATTACTTCAAAATATTGTGAAAAAAACAGTATAAAACTGAAAAAATGTTATCGAGTTATTTTATTTAATAAAAAACGGTATGTGTTAATACAAAACAAACAAGAACAAGACACCACATATCAAAAAAATATAAAAAGAACTATTTCTTACTTTCAAGCTTTATGAAACTTCCCGCATTTATGATTATATTTATCAATATAACTTATGTACAAATACAAATTTGTAATATTCCGCAGGAATAAATAAAACAACATAAATAAAACAAACTATTTTATTAATAATAACACTTACCAAATTGTATACTTTAAAGGTTGATTAATTAACATTAATCTTAATTTTTTTTAAAGCAGTACCTTTTGACATTATTTTTCTGCAGTACTAAAATCCATTAATTACCTGTCGTGTGATGTCGATATTTTACAGCTACTCCAGTTTTTAGTATGTGTTTAGTATGGTCCTTCTACCATATTGGAGATGCACTTATGTACGACGAGATGGTATACGAACTTTATTGATGGTAACTTTATTGGTGTATAAGACTTTCTGCCTGGACAGCTAGTATTAGTAAGTTCATACAAGGCGAGTTCATAAACTGTGCTGTGGGTCTACAGTTAATTTTCACTCGATTTTTCCTCCACTTGACTTTAAAAGACACAAAACACATGTAATAACACGAATCAAAATGCATCATCTTCCAAAACGCAGGGTATTTGACAAAAGTTGACAAAAAATTATAAACTAGAATTTGGCAAGACTTTGACAAGCGTCAAAAATCTAAAGGCGAGTTCATACGCATCGGCGTCCGTTTGTCGTTCATTGTTCCGTCAAACCAATAAAATTGAAATACGAACTGTCATTTTTGAAATAAACCAATAAAACTGCTTAAAAACAACAAGAGACGACGCATGATGGATTGATATTTAAACCCATCCATAGTTAATTTAAAAATTATTAGAAACTTTTTTTAGTAAAATAAATAGATTGGTATGGGACGTCATCTGCTTTTCTTCTGTCATCGTCTGTCGAAATCTTACCTGAGAAAAAAAACAGAGTATACAGTCTTCTTTACGCGTTTACATTTTTTCGGCAATTTTATTAACATTTCAAATGTCACAACACAACACGATGTCTAGTTCGGATTATTTTTCACTTATTTTTTTACCATCCGAAATAGCGTTACATCACACAAACCTCGTACCTGAGAGTTTTATTGTTTCAATAACTGCACTAGTAAAAAACTAAAATACTTAAATATTATGACAAAGCCACGATTTCAATATTAGTTTAATGCGATCAACATGACTTATAATTTCTGATTTCTGACGTTGAAGCGCTGCGGTCCGAATTTGTTGAAATCAACTAAAATGCACCAAGCCTATAGTCTACAGATTTTTTATGGTTAAATCGGAAGTTTTAATATGTAAACTCGTTCTTAACTCGAAGTTAAATAAAACTGCAATATGTATTATATGTTCTTTATTTTTGTTGGCATTTTTTAATAAAAACACTAATAATTCCGAATTTAACAATACCTACAAATAAAAACCTGTTTGCACTAAAAGAGTTTTATGTGGCGTATTAGGAGATTTCAAAAAAGAAAAACAACAAAGGAAAAAATACTTGCACAAAAATTAATTTTTATCTCCACACGCAAAAAGCTTGAAGCGGCTTTAATTAAAAAGTTTTTATCTTTTCCTTTACTGAGTGGACTGAAATAAATTATAATTATATCAAGTAGCAGATAATTTTATTAACATTTTAATTTATTATAAGATATAAAATACTAGACCACAAATTTACATAATTTTTTAGCAAAATAAATAAACAGGTATTGTACATAAAAATGATTAAATTTCATTAACTTAGCTAATAATAAGTATATAATATATAATTGTCATTTTTATCAAAATAAAATTAATTTGATATGTTTTATTTCAACATTAAATAGCATATTGACTGTACAAAAAATTATGGTAATAACTCTTTTATTTAATTGACAGTAATACATTTTACATCTGAAATATTTAAATGCATTTAAAAAGAAAAAGTACTTGCAACATTTCAGTAATGATCTGAGAAGAAAATCAGGTAAAAAATACTTAAAACAAAATGTAATGACAATATCCACGTTATCCAAGTCCATATTAATGCGTAAGACAAAGATAGTTGATGTATCCGTTATAACCCTTATAACCAGTTGATTGAAACACAAATAAATGCAAATTTGCCGATTCCTATGTGGCGGTAGACATACCATTTATAGTGGGAAAATTGTACAACTGTAGTAAGAGGACTAATTAACAGTGAAAATACTAAAGTTTGACATTAGCTACAATGCTATTCCAAACGCATTTCTAAGTAATTCTTATAGAGTAAGATCCCAGAGCTGGACTTGCAATCAATCGACTGGCTTGTGAAGGATCTGGCCGCTAAGGGTGCCCTAAGATTAAGGGAATCCAATCTGTGGAACCAGACCAACTACGGTCACTCGAGGATACTGCCAGTGATAGGGAAAATCATGGTGAACACGAGTCCACATCTGTTAGACCAGAAAACGGACTATATGCTCACCAAACATGATTTTGGATTCGCATCCCGACAAGAGAAGAATGGGAAAGCAACCGAGTAATGAACACTCAAGATATAGCAGTCTACACAGATGCTTCCGCAAATTCAGGGGACACAGGCATCTTCTCAAAGGAACTAGACATCCGACGATCTTTAAGGCTATCGGATGGCTGTAATGTTCTACAAGCAGAGGTTTACGCCATAAAAGAAGCGGCTAGTTGTATACGAGAGAAAATTGCTGATAGACCAATAGGGGATATAGTGATATACTCTGACAGCTTGGCCGCTTTAAGAAGCATCACCATGCAATCATTGAGATCAAAATCGCAATCAGGAAGCAGACAGACTCACTAAAGACGGGGCCAGGGGAGAGGCCGTGGCAGATGACCCACCACTTGTGACGATCAACACACTGAAGGAGGCTATAGGAACTGCCATCAAAGCCAAGCAGCAAGAGACGTGGCAACACCGTGAGGACTGCGCTACAGCTCGAAGACTATGAGTACCAGTGGTAAATAGCAAAAAGACAAAACAACTACTAGAGCACAAAAAGGACCTAGTACGCATAATTGTAGGTGTCGTCACTGGAAACTATCCCACGGGGGTAAACCTCGTGAGATGGAAAATTTCCGACGACTACTGCAGAGAATGCGGAGAGGAAGAAGAAACCATAGAGTACCTGCTGTGCCACTGTCCGGCACTGGAATACCGACGCTTTAAAACTTTAAGGCAAGGTTTTTTGGAGGGACTAGAGGAAGCAGCAGAAGCCAACATCAGCAACATCGGGAACTTTGCAAAGAGCTGGAAGTGCTTTAATGCAAAGAAAGAATGAAAGGAAGGTTTGGTAAAACAATACAGGGGTATCGCAATGGGCCCAAGGCCTCCGAGTGAGGGATCAAATATGATCCCAAACCCCAGCAACCTAACCTAACCTAACCTAAGATCCCAGAGCGATCAGTATAAAGCCGCTATTCAGAGTAAAAATGAATTGTGCCTCGATTGTAATGCCATACTTGTTAACGCTCGTCCATCAAATGATATCGCGCTGGTATTTACGGCTGAATATTTTTAGAGGATGTTTGGTCTTTACAATTTGTCTGACTGATTAAATATAACTTTATAATAGCTGTCTTAATAACTCATGTAAAAATAAGTAAAGTTTATTTATTTCTTGTGGAGCTTTAAAGCGTCTGATAAAAGTTCTGGTTCATGGAAAGTGTCTGATACTTTTGATACTACTTCGGAGTAATATTCTACATTATAAATATAAAAATCAGCCATACAAATTTAAGTTAAGTAACTCTTATTTTTAGTTACCTTTCTCACCTGGTATCTGCCAAGGTGTCACAGGGCGAACCCCACAAACACACCGGTATTTAAAGCACTACTGAGAGCCTAAAGTTTCATCCTTGTGAAAATAAGTTATGTCTGATCGCTCTAGGATCCACTGGGACTACTAGGGGTAAAAGAAAATTGACGGTACTGCACAGAAGTCTCTCGAGTGTCCCCTAATAATAAAATTTGCGCTGAAGTGAAGTTAGTGAAGAGCTATCAGGGGGGATGTCTCTTTAAATTTTAAATACCTAAGCGTTTAGTAGAAAGCATATATTATGTTTTTAATTATTTTTTTACTGATTTTATTCTCAGATTAGTGAAAAACCTGCAAACAGAAAAAGATATTACTTACTGGCAACACGTAAAACAATTAGGTACTAAATTATTAAATTACTGCTAATATTTTCATATAATTCTTTTTACGCACAATCACACACGTTATATATAGCTTATAACTTTAACTATTTACATGTTATGGTTATTTACAGGAAGATACAAGAGTTAAATAACAAAATTAAATTATTGGAAATGTATAGTTCTCTATAGCTTCTTTCCAGTAACATGAATGGCAGTTTAAAACCGGTAGACGTCTGGTCTTTTATCAACAAATATTTTTTAAGCGAATTTATTTTCATTTTTAAATTAGTTGGTTAAAAAAAGTTAATGGGCCGAAATAGTAATTTTGATTAAAACCTGTTCATCTTAAGTCGGTGGTCTGTATTATAACGTGTAAAGATAATGACGGAGATACCCTAATGAAAATTCTCTTATGCGGTATTGCTGGATTTTCTATAAAATATTAAAATCGACTAAGAAAGACTAAGACCCAGGACGAGAAAATGCACATTATATATTATCAGTATGGCTACTAAGAAAGAAGCTATTTACAATATTACATATTTCATATTTATTCAGAGCAGTCAGACAGATATAAATAAAAGTTATATATCAAAAACGCAAAATAAATTTGACAAATATTGTAATGAATTAGAGTATTTTAGTATTTCAGATTTTTATTAACGAAAATAAACTGCCAAAAATTCATAGAATGAAATAAATTTAAAATATCACATAAAACTTTTGGCTTAACATAATATTATGCGGCATTATCACTAACGACTAAGCCATTCGTGTCTTACTTTTTTATGCCATTTAGAATAACCAATAATGGATTAAGGTAGTTGTTTCCTCTTCTCAATTAAAAGGATTAGTAAAATAATTTAAATACACTTATCACTTCACCAAAGACATTGCAGTCACCCACACACATATTCAAAATACTTGTGCTAACAGCACTTGCTCTTTTTTGAGGATTTTTTCTTATCTCTTAAGTTTACTACATCATTTTGAGCACTTTGCAGTTGCTTCATTTCCTTTTTTGATCTAAAATATCAATTATTATTAAAATTACTATAATAGTACAATTTCACTACAAACGTGGCTGGCTAAATTACTGCCGGCGGCATAGACAATTGAAAGAAAAACCGCCGTTAGACAGTTTTACATAATATTAGTATTAACATGAATACCGCCGAAAAACTAGGTAAACTTTTCAAGTACGGCAGTTTTTGCCAAATATTTAAAGAATTTACAGTACACTTCTTAGTACTACACTTAAAAAAAAACATTTATATAATAAAGTTAGGTATTAACCGAAGTCTAGCTATATCTGGCACTCAAAACACACTGTAAGCTTTTCCCTTACAGCGTGTTTTGACTGCTAGAACAATTGCTGTCCTCCTTTCACGCAGTTGAACAGCTCTGAACTGTTCAAGAACGCGATACTCTCACTCCATTCAATTGAGTCATAAAGCTACAGAACTGTTCCGCGCCATATGGAGGCCCAGGCTATCGCGCACCGCTCCTTTCAGAACCGTTCTCGAGTAGCCCCAGGGCGTAAAGCCCGGAACTCGAAAATCGCGAATGGAGGACAGCAAATGATTGCTTTGGTTTCAATCTTTTGCAGTGTTGCCAGAAAAAAAAGTGAAATATCCGTGGATAAACAAAAAAAATCCGTATTTATGTATTATTGAATATTTATTTGTGTTAATCATAAAATAAATATGAACAAACGTTTTAAAAATAACGAAACATTAGGTACTAAAGTATCTAAGTACTAGCTACGTATTACATGAAGTACAAAAAAATTGGTCAAGTGCGAGTCGGACTCGCGCACGAAGGGTTCCGTACCATTCATTATCTATGCAACATTAGAAATTATATTATTATAAACTTTTTTCCGATTTGGCTGAAATTTTGAATGCGCGTATAAGTAATTTAAAAAAAAATGAAGAAACACATTACTAAAAATTGTGTTAATCAATAATAAATATGTAAAAAGTAAAAGTAAAAATAAATATGTAAAAATTAAAAAAAAACGATTAAAAAAAGTTGCCTTGACTACGATTTGAACCTGCCTTACTACGGCTCAACGCCTTCAAGTCCTAACGCCTTTAACCATGTGGCCACCGAGGACTTGAAATAATCTATGTAAAATTCTTACTTAAACGATAATGTTTAGTGAAAGTACTTTTTTATTTATAAACATTTATTTAATTCTGTTTTTAGTATTTGTTCTTATAGCGGCAACATAGATACATTATCTGTAAAAATTTCAACTGTCTAGCTATAACGGTTCATAAAATAGATCTTTGTGACGGACGGATAGCGAAGTCTTAGTAATAGGGTTCCCGTTTTTACCCTTTGGGTACGGAACTCTAAAAATGAATATATGAGACAAAAAAATATTGCAAATTAATACAATTTTTATTATTATAAATATATTGCCCTATTGGCAAAAAATGGGCTATTATTGTTGATCTTGTGCCCATTAGTCGATGGCAATACATAAAATTTTTGATTTCCCACGATTCTTTTATATTGTTGCGAGCCGGTGTGGACTCGACCTAACCTCGTCATATGGCCCGCCCTCGGATGACCTTAACATCGCATAGACACCGCAATGATTCATTCGTTCGAGAAGAATCGAGACCCACTAGAATGGACTAGTACATACGAGAACATTCGAAAACCTTCTCTATGCGCCTAACGATCTATGGACTATTCTAGATTTCTTTTGCTGTAGGTATAAAAGCCGGCGGCAGTGGCCTAGAGAGGGCAGTTATAAATATACAGTTGACGCGCTAAAATTCAAAATAAATTCTTAGTTATAAATCGTTTGTAAATAGTTCTATAAGTCTTTTATCGTTATTATTTTTGTTAATTAGTGTTAAATAATTAGTGTTTAAATAAATTGTGACTTTCTATCCACACGGAACCGACGAAAAACGTAACAATATGATCAAAAAAGTCGTTTAGTTGGCTTGGAAATGATGATCATTTACGTTCACCATATAATTTTACATATATATGAGAAATAACAGCGATTTTTATTAATGATGTTAAATTGATCAATGACAGAAAATCCGTATTATTGGAAGAGAATCCGTACGTCCGTAACGGATACACCCGAAATCCGTATATCTACGGATAAATCCGTAGTCCTGGCAACAGTGCTCTTTTGTTTTGTTTTTTTCGTTTTCCCTGTTTGACTAATGCGCATCTGATTGCTTTGAATATTTTGATTTTAAAATTGAGCGTTTTGCAATTTTTTACAATTATCAAATATCAACGACAGGTCAATTAAAGTCAAAAAATTAAAATCAATTTTTTCGCTCGAGTACTCGATTATTGAAATAATCGAGATCGTTCGATTATGAACGAGCGATGCAAGTGAGGAGTACCAAGCGACGAACGCAAGCGATCCTAGAATGCAATAAATTGAAATCCGATTTTAATGTGACATACTCGATAAAAAGCCGAGCGAATTTTCTACATACATTGCAGGTAGCAAATTTATACGAAACCGTATATACCGGGTGCGTCTCAAAAGTGGCTCACTCCTATTACTTTTTTATTTTTTTAGATAAAAAAATGAGATTTGGTATGTTAGTATATGACATAAATTAGGATTGATTGACGTATTCTATTGTTTTCTGTCACTTCCTGTTTCACCGGAAATGACTACAATTTTTGATTTTTAAGTGGTACCCTCCGTTTTTTTTTTACTTTATTCGATAGAAAATGACATTCTAAATATAATGACGTATCATATGTCAACTTTTGACAAATTCGCTTAAAAACAAATTGTATTTTAAATTTCAATCTAGAGCGCCATGACATTAATTTTTAATCCAGGAGCCTTGGAAAAATAGATTTGATCGTATAATGTTTTTAGTGTCTTGCCGTGGCCGGTTAAATCATATCTCAATTTTTTTCAAATGGAACGAGGGTGGCTCATTGGCATATTTCGAAAAAGAATTTTTTTACGAATAATTTGAAACCACACACTTGGTACTTCGAGTCAAATTGTCGTTATGAACCGCATGTTACAATTTCAAATAAACCATATGCAAAAATGTCAAAAGTTGACATGTGATATGTCATTCTATTCAGAGTGTTATTTTCTACCGAATAAAGTAAAAAAATACCGAGGGTGCGATTTAAAAATCAAAAGTTGCAGAAATTGAAAAACAATTGAATATGTCAATGAATCCTAATTTATGTCATATACATACCAAATCTCGTTGTTTTATCTGAAAAAATAAAAAGTTATAGGGGTGAGCCACTTTTGAGACGCACCCGGTATATTTATCCGTTGCGTATCTGAGGGACAAAATTTTACGACCTACATCGACAATGCTTCGAAATAAACTAAATCAGGCGATCAAGCGAATCGCTCCCGCTTACTACTTGCCGTTCATTACCGAAAGAATATGTGCCCTGCGCACGCAGCTTACTGCTTGGTGCTAGGCGTTAACGAATACTTACAACATGCGACGGACAAAAAACCGTATTTTTAAATACGAGCGATATTTAGCTCGAGTGATCACTGGGTTATTGCAATCGCTTGATACTCGAGTACTCGATTATTGAAATTAATCGGTTTTTCCCATCACTACAGGTTATGCATACCGCGGCCATCGTCAAAGTAATTCAATTTTCCACTGATATTTACAGATATAGAAACATTAGACAGAGAAATATCATGCCGCCGGATGACGGTATTTTTTGTGTACACTATCTATAGCCAGGCTTGCCTCCTTTTGTATTTAAAAAATCTGGACAGCACTGGTGCAACATTTTTCCTTAAATGTAAAATTTTATGTGCCCATCGGATATTGAAACAATATTTTATATGCCTTTTTGCTTTAACTTAAAAAAACTCTTCGAAATTTATAAATAATTATGTAAAAATAAAAAATTAAAAGTTGAAAACAAAATTAGTAAACAATTAATTAAATCTAAAACAACTAGAACAAAACCTAAATAAAATCAAAAGTTTCAGCTGTTTAATCTGTATAATTGGCTTTATTACAGTACGTCTGTCCTTTCTGTAGCTACGCGGTTTGGTTTGGTTTCGCCTCCCATCAATAAAAATTGACGACGCCTCCCATCAATAAAAATTCGACAAATTTGCAAGTGGCCAATAAAATGAGTGGGCGGAGCGATTTGCGGTGAGGTACTCGTCAAGTCGAAAAATAAAATATATTGCTGTTTATTTAAATGTTTTTTGTCCGCATTCCTTTCATAGACACAGATCCAGCAGATGTACTGTAGTTTATTTAATTATTTTTAAAACTTTTTAATTTCATTAAAACCACTAATTCCTCACAATACACCAAAACACTTTAAAATATAGGCCTTAACCCCTACAAGTGCGCTAATTTCCATTAAACGCTTTACTTTTAACACTGGATGTTAACGCGCGTTTCGTTTACCAGCTTAGCATCATCAGCAGATGATTAAAACTGATGGTTAGTTTCAAATTTATGATTAGCGAAACGAACGTCCAGTGTTAAAAGCAAAGTGTTTTGGTGTATGGCGGTGAATTAGTGTTTTATTTTGCTGTTGTAACACCAAAGGTTCCAACCCCCAACTGTATAGAATATTTTTTATTTGTTTTGTTGTGCTGTAATAATAAGAGCCTTGTCATTTTTAATAAAATCCAAAAATTCTTATATGCGATATATTAAAATTAAATAAGATTTGAAATTCCATTCTAATGAGTTTAACTGAACATCTATTTCTAGCGTCTGTCTACTTCAACATCATACATGAAAATATATAATTAACAACCTTAAACAATGAAGGCATATAATTTACTCTAGTTTTAAAAATACTTTATTTTTTTCTATAATTTTTATATCCTTTGTGGCAAATTTCCTGTATGCAAGTTTATATTATCGAATACTCATTAGAGTATCAATATCTACTTCTTTTAATTCTAAAATTTCTAAGATTTTAATTAATTCCTGGAAAAGTACTGTTTTTATTTTTAAGAAATTAATAAACATTTTTAATAATAAATTTTACAATTTTATTTTTAATAAAAATGTGGCTATTAAACAAATAAAAATCGGGACACTAGGGCTTTGCGTGGGGACGCGAGACTTTTGAATCAAAATCGGGACTGTCCCGACAAAATCGGGACGGGTGGCAACCCTGTCTATAGCGCCGGCGGTTGTTAAGCCATCGCGTAATTTTAAAGTGGATAGATACTTTTATTTCTGTGTCCCACTTTCAAACCATATGCCCCTAATTAAACAGAAAACTTACTTTAGAACTAGCCTTGTTATTGTCATAAACATTTCTTCCACGTTAATATTATCCTTGGCCGATGTTTCAAATAGCTGAATTTTCATCGTATCGGCAAAACGTTGAGCATCTTCCGTTAGTACTACTTTACGATCAGGCGTATCATTTTTGTTGCCCACTAAAATTAAACACGTCCTCAGACTAAAGGTATTTATAATTCTATTTTACCAACAAATTTAGTAACCAAAACGTTCATACCAACTGAAGTCCCAGTTAGAACATGAGGCTTTAAATTCCTATTTAAAATGAACTATTTATTGAAAACATCCCTGTTTATTGTAATTATTAGAGCGTCCGCGCACGGGTCGGCTGGCCCTAGAAGCGATGTACATCACATGCGAACTATGCGATGCAATCGAATGTTTAATTATACATGGGTAGATTTTTATTTCATTTGTCGCTTGTGTCTCGAAGTATTCAGTTTATTTTATTAGGTCTAGTTCTATTTCTAGTATAGGTCGTCATTTTTTTATGAGTAGTTCAAGTGATGAAGAGGACGCTGTCTTTTTAAATATGTATCGTCGAATGAAAAGAAAGCAACAGAGTATGAGTCCCTACGTTGAACGAAATTTTCACTAGGTTTGTTCCAACCAGCATTTCGGGATCGTTTCGAAATTGTACTCGAATCGGTTTTCTTGCACTTTGTTAGCATGCGCGGACTTATAACTTAATAGTTTCGTGACGGTGCAAAAAGTATCAACGTTGGAACGCTTTGTGGTTTGTTTTCGGGATTGTCAAAAGTGTTAAGCGTGCGTGTATCGATCGGTTTTTTGTTTTTGTTCGAGGAAACAAGAAAATACAATTAAAGCTTACCTAAATATTGTTCATTTTTCACCCTTTCATTAGGCAGCAACTCCAAATTATTATCTGAAGTGGATGTACAGAAATCAGTCACACCATCGTCACTCAGCCTTAATTATTATCTATAGATAATTATGAAAGTGTACAATTTAAAATTTCCGAACGATTTACTCCACACAAACTCACAAGCAAAAGTATTTATAACGCACACGTATTCGAATTCGTAAAAAATAACCAAGACAGAAGTATCAGCCGAACGCCGGATAAGAATCCGCTGCTAAAAATCGATAATCCCTGCCAATATGCTTTAATGCACAAGTCAACCCAAACAGTTCTCAATTTGGACCATGTACCGAAATTACCGTTCTGAAATCGTAACTAAACGATCCCTATAGGATCGTCCGATAACCGTTAAATTTCCATTGGAACACATTTGAATTACTGCGCACGAGCGTGATCGTTCGGTGACGGTTCTGCGGCGAGTTGGAACAAAGTCGATTGTTTGTTGTTGCGAAAGAATTACAAGAGAATGAGATAATTTTTTAAACAAATATAAATGGAAAAATAATCGTGAAAAATTTTGAATGGTCTATCTTTTAAAACCCGCAGAATATTTTTTTGATTCAATTTTTTGGGTTTTTACTGCAAAATATCGCACGTTTCGTGCGGCACACTCGAAATTCCCCGTTCTCAGCTTGCAAGGTTCAATTCGAACTCGAGATGCAATCTGTTCGAGTTCGTGTCGATCGCCTAACGACCCGTTCGCGGACCTACCATAATTTATGTATGAAGTAGAGTGGAGGGAGATTCGCTCCTAGTTCGAGTCGCTTCCGGTTCGAGAGCCAGCCGACCCGTGTGCGCACGCTCTTAGACCGTGCACACACGGGTCGTCTCAAAACAAATCAAAAAAGTCGTCACTTATAGGGTTTTCTGTCGACTTGTCCCGTCTGGGTCGAGGTTGCCATATTTCAACCATAAAGCTCTTGCCGCGAGTAATAAACAAATTAACAACCTGTATAAGCTTGAAGTACTTGAGTATTGAAATTGTCCTATTAAGCCCTTATATTAGAACAAAAGCGAAACCCCTTATAGAATGGCTTGTATCAACAAATATTTTGAACTCAAAACTTATACTCATACTTATATTTCTCAGTTAGCAATTGCTACATACTGTAATTAAATTCTTGATATACCTATCCTTACCCAAAACTCTATTAACAACTTCACAGTTTTGATCTATTTCGTGTAACCATCTTTTAACATTGGCAAAAGTTTCCCCATTTGTTACATCATAAACTATAACTACTCCATGTGTTCCTCTATAATAACTAAAAAAATACATAAAAAATATAAAAGAATACTTAGATATATAAAAATATTTATTTCTAAATTTTAATATTCATTATGTGTTAGCAAACATCTACTTACGTGCTTGTTATGGTTCTGAACCTCTCCTGACCAGCTGTATCCCAGATTTGTAGTTTAACTTTTTCATCATCAATATTTACGGTTTTTATTTTAAAATCTACTCCAATAGTTGTTATATAACTTCCAGTAAATGTATTATCAGAAAATCGTAAAAGTAAAGAACTTTTCCCAACACCTAAAGAAATATTAAGACAAAAATGTTTAGGAATCGATTATAAATAAACGTTATATAAAATAAATTTCTACATAATTTGATTATGTAAATTTAAAGAGAGTGTTTAAATAAAATGTAGTGGAATATCCTTCATATCTAGACAAAAAGATTTATAACAGTTTATATACCTCAAAAACTAAAATATCTGCTAATTGAAATTAAAACAAAAACTTCTATTATAGCTTTACTTCATTAAAAAATATTCTTAAAAAGTTAATATCCTGAATAAAATCAAAAGTACTATTTTTTAGGGGGCTATTGGTTGACTTTCAAGTTTTGACCCAACAAACTGCCCTTTTTTGATCAAATATCTTTATATTGATCAAGAAATTGTCTTCAAGTTATTCAAATTTGTTTTGAACACCATATAATTAACATGTATACAGTTATTAATGTCAAAGTTACTATTATTCTGTCCCTATTATTTCTGTCTTGTCTTGTTAATATAAATTCCGCTTGTAATATACAAGTTAATATGAGTTAATACAAGTTACAAAGAGACAACTTTATTATAGTATTTTTGTCAGAAATAATCTCAGGTTTCCAATTAATAGAATGTTTTAAAAAATTAAATAAATCCAAAAAACAGATGTTATGATGAACAAATTAGCAATGAAGCAATGAAGTCTCCCTTAAATGACCTAGTCCTAAACTACTTCTTTCTCTCTTTCAGTTAGATATATTAAATATATCTATCTTGTCAAAAGATCTTGTCTAATCATGACACAATTTTTTCATTGCATTAAAACTTGCATCTGATCATATATTCATAGATAACACAGTATTTAACAGTTGTATTTAACAGCAGTTGTTAAAAATTGAATGTAACCTAAATAATGAAAAATGTAAATTATGAAAGATATTAATAGAGTTTTAGTATTTCCTTTGTCCTTTATAGAAGCAATTGCATTCAATATAAAAAATCAACAAAAATTTATATCTTCGATGAATTCACAATGAACTATATAAAATTAAGCATGTAAACATCTATTATAGGTACAATATTTTATATGGTGTTCTCAAGGGTAAGATGAACTACACTAAAAATGATCTTATATTGCTTAGATATAATATAATAACTATTATTTCCAAATCAACTACAATGAAATGAAAATAAAAATTGATATTCATTGTAATGACAGATTAATTATTATTTAGATACAATAATAAGATATAATAATTTTTTTAAACTAAGTTGTAAATTCATCTTGCTAAGTCCTGCTACCAGATACCTATCCTATTAAAATATTTAAACATACCCATTATCATTAAAATATAACCCCACCCCAAAAACCTAATCACTCACCACTATCTCCTATAATCAACAATTTAAACAAGTGATCATAGTCTCGAGAAGCCATTCTTTAAATCCTGCTTATACAATAATTTTAATAACTTATTTCAGCATTAAATAAGAATGCACTATTTGTTATTAATTTAAAAATTATAGTTTTTAAAAGTTTGTTCAAAGAATTAGATTTGACATTATTTCTGATTTGACAGGAGAATTCTTCCAGAATGTAACCTATCTTTGGCACAGAATAATGATGAATGTGAGCCCTCCATAGATGACTTTTAGAACCAGGGCTGGGTAAACTACCATTATTAAAAGGGTTCGGAAAACTCAGAGATATGGAAGTGGGAGAATGAGCTTCGACGAGTGCGCATCCAAATTTTTGTTGACGGCAAAATGGCAGACATCTTCCAGGTCTCGCTGTCACTTCCCCTCTTTAATTGACATCTGTTTGTTTTGTTTTTTTTTCGTTTGTGTTGTTATCTAGTCATAGATAAAAGACTTATACTATTAAATAGATAGGCAACTTATAATACATTTCAATTTTATTATACAAGGGCGCCTCTGGTAGATGGAGGAAGAAATACTATTGGAAGAGAGGGGTGCGGGGAAGGGGGGTTGTTTTAGTTAATTTAAAATAAATTTAGACATACATGTAAGAACACTTTGTGTGCTTTTAATTAGGTCGAACATATTATAAACGATAAATCAACTGAATTAAAAGCATACAAAGTGTTCCTATATGTCGGATATTAATTAAAAAATATATTAAAAATACTAGAAATAGTATATATTAAGTTGTTACAGTTATAATTTAATCTTTGGCGGTTTTCAGCAAATAGCAGGCAGTTTTACATAATTTGCCTCTCTTTGAAGTGAATTGGAAACGGCTAGGTATATAATTTTGGTGTAGGCAAGATTCCCAGTTTGTTTCCGTTTGGGACCTGAAATAATAAAAACAAATTAAATCAGATGTAATCATCTGCTGATCATGCTAATATAAAACGCGCGTCCTTAATTCCGTACATGCACCGTAAAAAAAATTAAATAACTGCAATAGAGATGTACTATGTAGTTATTTAGTGCAAGTAGCATTTATTAGCAGTACTAATTTAAAAAATCTATAACTGTAAGTAGATATGTTTAATTTACTTACCATTGTATCCTTCGGAAACAGGTGTACAACAATTAAACTCCATGATAAAAAATAATTAAGAGTTATTACAAAACACAAATTGTCCCACCATTTTAAAAAACATTGTCTAAAAACAGAATACTGACAAAAATCTGAAGGAATTTCATTTTACAATAATTCGACAAATCAAACGAAATCAAACCGTAAAATCACAACAAAAAGCGTCTCTGAGTGACAGTTAAAAATCAAATTTTATTATTGTCAGATATTGACATTTGCATTGTTAATATTGACAGTTTTAATATTTTGCGCCTCTACATCTTGGAGGAAAAACTATTTTTAATGAACCGTCATTTCCATTTAAGTTTCCCAGCCATGGTATCTACTAAGCAGTATCGACCGGTTCTGGAAAGAGAAAAACTAGTGAACATAGCTGAGAAACTTAAATGGAAATGACGGTTCATTAAAAATAGTTTTTCCTCCAAGATGCAGAGGCGCAAAATATTAAAACTGTCAATATTAACAATGCAAATGTCAATATCTGACAATAATAAAATTTGATTTTTAACTGTCACTCAGAGACGCTTTTGTTGTGATTTTACGGTTTGATTTCGTTTTGATTTGTCGAATTATTGTAAAATTAAATTCCTTCAGAATTTTTGCCAGTATTCTGTTTTAGACAATGTTTTTTAAAAATGGTGAAACAATTTGCGTTTTGTAATAACTCTTAATTATTTTTTATCATGGAGTTTAATTGTTGTACACCTGGTTTCCGGAAGGATACAATGGTAAGTAAATTAAACATATCTACTTACAGTTATAGATTTTTTAAATTAGTACGCCCTGTTTATATATTAATAGTTAGTCAATGTGCCTGTATAAGTCGATGCTGCCAACTGGTGGCAGAAATTAAAACGTAAAAAAGGGCGGAGACTACTGAATTTGGCAAAGAAGTAGGGACTAGGAATTCTTCGAATTTAATTCTCGGTAAAGAAAAATAATAAAGGTAAGATAAAATATCTTATCTGATTCGAACCGAATTTATACCTCAAAGCGTTATTTACATTTTTTATTTTTGGACATGGATTTATATTTATTTTGATTTTCATGGCCACTTGTTGGATACTAAAGTATTATATTAGATATATAAATATTTTATTTTTAGATGGATAATTAAAGAATATAATATGAAACTATACCTACCTACGTCTGTAACTTTGTAAAAAGTGTGGCGGATTTAACATAATGTTTTTTTTTAAATGTAACATCCTATTTCATTTTAGATTCTGCGTAAAATTCTATTACTTTTTTTACGTATATTTCTTTATAATGGTGTAAGCTAAAACTAGTTTTCTAATATTTCATTTGTTGATGAAGAAAAAATATTAGATATTTATATGTAGATATTTAAGGTAGAGCTACAGGGTGTTTAATATATGTTTTTGAAATTCGACTACGTATTTAAAATAGAAAAATATCTGCAGATTCTTTCAATGACGCAGCCTATACTGAGTGTTTTTTCAAAAGCGATTCACCTCCTATAACTTTTTATTTTTTCAGATAAAAAAATTAAATTCAGGGTTTACCAAATTCGGAATGTTAGTAGGTAAGTATATGACATAAATCGAGATTGATTCGTATTCCGTTAGTTTCGGTCACTTCCTGTTTCACCGGAAATGTATACGAGTACAACATTTGATTTTTAAATGGTACCCTCGGTATTTTTTATACTTTATTTGATAGAAAATGACATTCTGAATAGAATGACATATATCATATGTCAACTTTTGACATTTTCAATTAAAAAAAATAGCATTTTAAAATTCAATCTAGTGTCATGGCTGTGTTAAAACCATTAATTTTTAATCAAGGAGCTTCGGAAAAATTGATTTGATCGTCTAATATTTTTTGTCTTTTTCCTTTTGGTACCTGGTAAATAGGTAATTTGGTACCACACACTTCGTATATCGAGTCAAACTGTCGTTACCTTTACAACCGGTTACATGTTGTTTTTTATCATGGCACTCTAGATTGTAATTTAAAATACAATTTTTTTGAGTAAATATGTCAAAAGTTGACATTAAATCATTCTATTCACAATGCCATATTCTGTCAAATAAAGTAAAAAAATACCGACGGTACCATTTAAAAACCAAGTTGTAGTCATTTCAGGTGAAACAAGAAATAACCGAAACTAATTGAATACGTCAATCAAGCCACGTTTGAAAAACACCCGGTATATTATAATTTCTTCTGATAGATTTTACAAAATTCTTCAATTTCTATTAATAATGTCATATAACTATATAAATTACTTTAATGCTTAATAATAAATAATTTTTGTTTTGTCATGGCAAAACTTGTTATAGTGTAAATGAAGTAAAAGAAGGATAAAAGTTGAAAAATTCAGAACAGATTGCAAGCTGTATAGAGTATAGATGTACTTAATATACTTTCTTAACAAATGTTGAAAGGTTTTGTAAAAGCACTAGAAAAAATAATAATATATAGGATCAGCCAAAAAAATCTGTTTGAACACAGTGTAGCATCTAACTCCAAGTATTTTTACATATATCTTTTTCTTCACCTCTGTAAAACACTCCTACCAAATTTGGGTAGCCCAACTTCGGAAACAACTGACAATTATGTAACATAGGAATATTTTTTTTGCAAATACTAACGTTATTTATAAAAAAAGTTATAGAATTTTAGGCAGAATCGAAAATAAAATAAAAGTTATAAATAAGAGTTTTGCATTAAAAAACATGTTACATTATATCCGCCACATTTTTTGAAGCACCCATTATACTCAAAAATAATATTTGAACTGTGTCTCTTAAGATTCTCTATACCCTTTTTTTTTGAATTCCCAAAACAAACGAGATAATTAACTTTATTTATTTCCTGATATCTCATTTTATAATATTTCGGAAGAATCAATCAGGTATCTTATTTTTATAATTATTAGAAATAAATCGGATTTAAAGGATAAGAGATATGTAAGTGTATACCATACGATAAAAAAACGGCGTCAGAGGTGGCTTGGAAATGAATATCGATGTCATATATTTGTACATAAACAAATAGACGCCGTTTTTTTTCGCTCATACCATATAAGAAAACAAATTTAATAAAACAAACGCATTTATTAATATATGTATATAGATTTACATGGTATGAAAAATTCGCATTATAATCTCTGAAGGTCCTACCATGGTCCCAACAATGGTTGGTTAAAGTGGCGAGTACGACCACTTATCAGTCACACCTATAATAATTTAATAAAATATGAATATAATAAACAAACTTATTTCTTTTAGATTTTTTAAAAGCGAGTTATATGTGTTAAGTCGTTTTTGATTATTTTAGACTAAATTTTTTAGACATGATTATTTTAAACCAAATTGTCTGCCCACTCAAACGTCTTTCAAAATTATAATGTAGGAAATTCTTAATATGTTTTAATTGGGAATACTTTTAGAAAGTTTCATTTTCACCAAACAAAACTACGTATGTAATCAACTATAATGCATGATATATACTGGTGGCGTCAAAACTAGATGTTGGGTTTTTCTCGATTATTTCAAAGAGAACTCCACATTTTATGACATAAACGTAGTTTTCTCCAACTTTGTTTTGAAAAATAATTTTTAAATCCAATAATCGATATTTATACAGTAATGTCCTGTTTTGGAATACATAATTATTTTCAGCTGCAGCGATAAAATAAATAATATTTACTGATACGCTAAGTAAAAAAATAATTAGGAAATTATTTTAGACATCTAATTCTTAATTTTTGTCGCTGATAAATATGTAGATACATCACTTTTAACGACAAACCTACTAATAAAAATTGCGAAAAACAAATCATGTTTATTCTCAAAGAGACAATTTTGAGAACAATCCAATAACTATTAATCTGGGATATAGATCTTAACAAAACAAAAGTTGGATAAAAGATTTGTTGATTTATGATATAAAATACAGTGTTCCATTTGAAATAGCAAAGAAAAATATAATATATAGTTTTGACTCATCCTGTATATAATACAAAAAAAATAATATAAAGAAAATTTAATCATATAAATAATTT